GCTCTTTATGCGGTTGTGTCTTTGATATTTATGGCATCTTCTTGCTTGTGGGGAGCCGTGTGCTCTCTTATGCTGTTCATGACTTTGTGGGTTTTCCCACGGGTTCTTATGGAGTTATTAGTCATCCTCTTGGGGTATGCCCCTCGTATTTGTACATTTTTGGTCTTTTATACATACTTACTGTAACACCTGCTTTCTACTACTATTCATATAATGTACTATGCAAATTATAGATATACATAGCGTATGGAAGATAGTGGGGTCGAACTTTTCTTACTCATAAAATATAATATTTTACATATACAAAATACTATGTATTAAAAAACTTTCTCCTTAATACAAAATATCATAACGGTGGACAGTAGTGCCAATACCTCTGCTTCTCGACGTCCATCCGACCGCTGCTCCTAATTCTTGCAAAACAAGGAAGAACGTGGGGTGAGCACAACAATGCTCAGTAAGTAAATCCTCTACTACCTATCCCCACAACTCACTCTTTGGTTCTTTCCTTGGTCTACAGTTCTTTATTTCTAATTCTCACTGTTTTTCTCTTCTTGCTAATACTTTTATTCTCCTTTAACTCTGTTCTACTCTTTTTATCTTTCTTTCTCTGTTCCATTTCTTTTTCTCCTTCAACTTGTTCTACTCTTTTTATTCTTTCTTTCTCTCTGTTCTCATTCTCTTTTCTCCTTTTCTTATTCTTACTCACCATGAAGGAAACTCATGGTTCTCTCTATTTCTCTCATATTCACCATGAAGGAAAATCATGGTTCTCTCTCTTATTCTCATTATACTCTCACTACAATGGAAGAAACTCATGGTGCATGCATGTATGAGAGTACATGCAATTAATGCAAAAGAACTGATGTTTCTTTCTTCTACTCTCTATCTTACTAACTCAAACTTCTATTCTTCTCATACTCTCTCTTTTTCTATCTCATTCTTCTCAAGCTTTCTCAAGCTTTCCATTCTTTCTCATTCTCTTTATTATCTCATTCTCATTTCTTATAATTCATTTTACTAACTCGCCCTTTGAATGACAGCCCCATCTTACCGGAGGCACGGCCGAGACTTGTCCTGCTGTATGTGACTTCTACTGATTCTCTTTCGTCTCTCTTCTCATAACTCTTTTCTGTTAACTTTCTGTTGTAGGTCACGATCTCATCTTATGGAGGCACGACTGGGTACTCATCCACTCTTCGTAACCCTACTCATTGTCTTTCTTTATTTTCTCATTTTGCTCTGTTTTCTCATTCTTACTCATTTGAATGTCACGGCCTCATCTGACCGGAGGACGGTTGGGCGCTACCACTCTACGTGACTTTTACTCATTTCTTTACCGATCGGACTTGGTATGCATGGATCGGAACCCTTGGCCATGTGAGTGTATATTCTTTCTCTCTACTCTCGAATGTCACGGCCCCTTTTACGGGGGCAGGCTGGGGATCACAAAGCACCCACTCTCGTGACGGTCACGGCCCCATCTTACGGAGACATGGCTGGGGAACAAAGCACCCACTCTCGTGATTTTACTCATTACTCACGGGTTCCCCATCGCACAACCTACTCTATTCTCTTCTTTTGTTTTTCTCTTTACTTTTAGAGTAGTTCATTCACAAAGTTCCCTACTCTTTCTCAAGCTATACTCTAGAGTATTTTTTACAAAGTTTTCCACTCTACTCAAGCTATTACTCATAATGTAGCTCATACTCAACATTCTCTACTCTTTTTCAAGCTACTTCTCAATGCACAATTAATGCATATGGATGGTTCATGCTCCTTAATGCACTTATGAAATGCCAAATACCATATTACATCAAAATAGTCATTCTATGCAGGTCACACTCAAGAAGCCATAACTTGAGTTATACACCTCGGATTGCTATGGTTTTGGTCTCTTTTTAAAAGCTAGAGACAGGGCTACAACTTTTATGTTTTGGTCTAAACCCGTTAAATTCGTAAGATGCCCAAAAATCACTTAGAAAGTCACGACTATGACAGGGCAGTTTGGTAACCAGTTTTCACTTAGGCATTTTATCAAACAACTCATGTGCATACCAAGCTCTACTTTCTATAAATCTACTCTTCTCTTAACCATCCAAAATGGGGAAAACTCCCTCATATAGTCATAATTCCTGCCAAGGAAAACACTCCCAAAAATATTCATACAAAACTCCTCCAACTTCAACTCAATTTCAATCTCTCTTCACACATCAAACACTTCTCAAATTAAAGTATATCCAACAACACTAGAATAAATTCTATCTCAACTCAATTTCTCAGCAAGCATAACATACTCATGCATATATAAATCTTACTAAATCTCTGCTCAAAAGATTTCTCAAATCTCAACTTGGTTGGATTTACTTACCTTGTGCTTGAGTGTCTCTCCTAAGCTCTCTACTCTTGTTGGATTCAATCTTCTCTTAACCCTAATCATAAACTTAAAAGACTAACCTTTACACAAATAAATCATAGATAAAGAGCTTGAATCCTTACTTTGTTCTTGAATCAAAACCCTATGAAAATCTACTCAAAAGCCCTCAAATTCCTTGGAGAAGTGAATGAAAATTTGAGAGAAAAAAGGAGGAGGAGTGTGGGGGGTGGAATGAACGAAAATAAGGGTTTCAAACCTTAATACTTTAATTATAACCACACTTTCCCATTTTGCCCTTGCAATTTGCTAAAATTCCAACTATGTCCCTTAGTCAATTACCATAATGCCCTCATTTTTATGCATTCTCCATGAAATTTTATCTCTTTTCAATACCCACAATTTCAACTAATTTTGAGTGAAAAGACCATTTTACCCTTAATGCAAGTTTAAGGGATTTTCTTCACATTTTTCTCAAAATAACTTCAACAAAATTCAACTAAGGGCCAACCAACCAATATTATCAATATACAAGCTCAATTGAGAATAAATCAATAAACATTCAAGTAATTTAACTATAATTTAACTACGTACCTCAAGTGGGGCGTTACACTTACCTTATCCAAAAAAAAAGTTTAGGGTTTAGGGTTTAGGTATTTGTGATCTAGTTTGGGCCAAGATTTTAGGTCTAGAACCTAAGTACGAGATCTCAACTTAGCTCCGTGTGATATGGCATCTTCCTGATTAGCTTTGTAAGGAGCTTGCGTGCTTTTTTGTGCTGGTTTGTGGCTTTGCGTTTTTGGTGAGCCTGCGTGCTCTTTTATGCCGGTTTTTGGCTTTGTTATTTGTGCATCTTCTTGCTTTGTGGGGAGCCTGCGTGCTCTCTTTATGCTGTTCGTGACTTTGTGGGTTTTCCCACGGGTTCTTGACTGAGAATTATCAGTCATCCTCTTGGGGTATGCCCCTCGTATTTGTACATTTTTGGTCTTTTATACATACTTACCTTATCCAAAAAAAAAGTTTAGAGTTTAGGGTTTAGGGTTTAGGAAGCTTTCGGGAATTCGGGGAAATCTTTATGGATTGGTGATTTAGAGCCATGCATGGATGACAAGTATTTGTTATCCGTTTTCTTAAAGGTGGCGATTCAAGGAGCCAAGGTTTTTCATCACAAAAACTCTTCCTTTGGTTTTCTTGAGTTTGAATCTAATGATATTGCAGGTATGACATTACAATCTTTTCATGGCTTAAAAATGCTGAAGTCCACGAAGCTTTTCAAGCTTAATTGGGTGTCTTCTGGGGCTCGTGTACAAAGGCCAGTCCCTAAGCCAGTTGTAGAGAAGAAAAGTATGGGTAAGAGCACCTCAGGAGTGTCCTCCTCTTGGGCGGATAAGGTTAGAGTGACAGAGGTCGGGTCCTATTTCACCCTTGAAGCTGTGGACCTTGATATTAAGGATGACATCTTACTTATACAGGATGATGTCATTGATGACAATGATGTTGAATGGCTTCCCTGCATTGTGGGTTATTTCTCGGGGTACTCTATGCCTTTTCATATTGTTCGCTCAATTGCTTTCCGTGCATGGGAAGCTACGGGGTTGGAAGATGTTATGTCCACAGGCACTAGTTTCTACATGTTCAGATTTAAGGATGAGGATGCGGTGCATTCGATCCTTGAGAGAGGGCCGTGGATGTTTGGGGGTAAGTCTATTATTTTGCAACAATGGCATGCTCAGTTTATTTTTGATAAAAGCCGCATCTTTAAGGTTCCGGTATGGGCTCATTTGCATGGGTTGCCTTATCCTTTGTGGTCCCACAAAGGACTCTGCATGGTTTCCTCTATGTTGGGTCGACCGTTGTCTAGTGATAAGACAACATCAGAGCGGACCCGTTTGGATTATGCTCGGGTATGTGTTGAGCTAGATGCAGCAAAGCCTCTGAGACGTCATTTTGAATTTCAGTGCCGATTATCTGCGGAACCTATTCAGATTGCAGTGGAATATGAGTGGACCCCCAAGAGGTACCCTAAGTGCTGTGTTTTTGGTCATGTTTGTCACCAACTAGAGGTACCTACTGCGGCTATAGCTCAGGGTAAGAATAAGATAGTTACTAGTTTCCAGAAGGCACTAGGGAAACCAGTGCAATCTGAGAACTGCGAGCCTTTGAGGCAGCCAGCCACTATTGATCCCATTAGGGAGAGGGAGCGGGGGACGGAGAGGGATGTTTTAGTGCCATCTCCAGTTTCAGTTCCGAGTACAGTTAGAGTTGGGGATGCTTCTTTGGCTCTGGTCCCATATCAGCAGACTGTTCGTGCTAATAGAGGTGAATTTTCTAGCTCTGAATTGGGATCAAAACCTGATTCCCCTTTTCCTATTGAGGATGAGCAGGATTGTATTATGGGATTTACAAATTGCACAGAAAACACTCAGTCCTTTATGAGTTCTGGGAGTAGGAAATCTACCTCTTCCAACAGGTTTGCCTCGCTTGTTCTGCATAATGACGATCTCTAGACACCAGATGCCACCTTATCTGAATCAGTTTCCTTGCCATCCTTGGTAAAGGGGATAGGTCGGGGAAAGCAGGGGTGTCGGCTCAAGTGATTTCCTAGCTTGTTTCTATCCCAATTCCAATGATAGGGAGTTGGAATATTAGAGGCCTTGATGGCTTCTCGAAACAACGCGCTGTGCGGAATTGGATTTTTGACGCTTCTTTGGGTTTGATTGGTTTCTTGGAGACTAAGGTTGAGCAATCTCATTTACAGTCGATGGCCTCGTCTATTTGTTTTTCGTGGCAGTTTTTGTCAATGCGACAGATTCTATTGCTTGCCGTGTTCTAGTATGTTGGGACTCTTCTCTTTACTCTATGCATAGTCTTCATTGCTCTCTTCAGGAGATTACTTTCAGGGTTACTCATGTTTCTAAGAGGTTCTCATTTGGGATTACTTTTGTGCATGGTTCTAATGACCCTGGGAATTGCCGCAATCTGTGGGATTTCCTTAGGGATTAATCGACAGTGTTTGGTTCAGAGGGGCTCCCGTGGCTTGTGTTGGGTGATTTTAATGCCATCTGGGAGCCTCTAACAGAGTGGGTGGTGATCATGCGTGGTATGGTTATATGGATGATTTTGGCCAATGTATCCATGATGCTGAGTTGATTGGGATTCCTTTTACTGGGCTTCGGTATACTTGGTATAACGGTCAATAGGGCGATGGGATTATTTTACGGAAGCTTGATTGGGTCTTTGCATCACTTTCTTGGCTCCTTGATCGACCAAACACAGTTTCAGAGGTTCGACCTCAGGATGTTTCAGATCATAGCTCTATTGTTATCCGGTTTGGTCCCCGCCGTAGCAAGGTACCATCCCCTTTTAAATTTCTAAATTTTTGGGCTAATCATGCAAATTTTAGGGATATTGTTCAGGCAATTTGGGACGAGCCTATTGTAGGCAATCCTATGTTCCGTCTTACGCAAAAATTAGGGTTGGTAAAACGGAAGCTCAAAGCTTTACATATTAAGGTTTCCAGTTATATCTCCAGCAAGGTAATTGAGGCTCGGGCTAAGTGGGCAACAGCTCAAGGAAATTTGGATCGGGACCCGTTTTCTACTAAGTATATCTCTGAGGAGAGGAACCTTGCCAACCAGTATTTCAGTCTTTGTCGAGATGAGGAGACTTTCTTTAAGCAGCGGTCTCTTGTTCAGTGGCTGCACTTAGGGGATCAGAATACTAAGTTCTTTCATAAGATGCTGATCCATAGGCAGGTTCGAAACCGCATCCATGGTTTGACTGATGAGAATGGTACTCATATTGTTGACAGTTAGGGTTTAGGGCGTTTGGCAGTGGGTTTTTTTTCAGGATCTTCTTGTTGCCCCTAGTCAACCTCAGATTGCAGAGGCTTCCAGGTATTTTTCTGGCCGCATTTCTCCTGATATGATTTCTCCATTGACTGCTCCTATCACTGATGATCAGATTAGGATTGCTTTATTCTCTATCCCGGATGATAAAGCCTCGGGCTCGAATGGATTCATATCTTTGTTTTTTAAGCGGGCATGGGATATTATTGGTAAAGATTTCAGAGATGCGGTGAGACATTTTTTTGCTACTAATGAAATGCCAAGATGTGTTAATGCCACCAGGATTGCTTTGGTTCCTAAGGTGGAGAGCCCGAGTCGTATGACGGACTTTAGGCCAATATCTTGTTGTAATGTACTTTGCAAGTGCATTTCTAAGGTGATTGTGAATCGGTTTAAAGTAGTGCTTCCAGATATTATTGGGGTTTCCCAGTCAGCTTTTGTCTCGGGTCGAAGAATTTCTGATTATATTCTGCTGACTCAGAAGCTTTTGCGGAATTATCATCTTGGGGGTACTTCACCTCAATGTGCCTTTAAAGTTGATATTCGGAAAGCTTTTGATACTGTGAGTTGGGATTTCATCCTTTTGGGATTGCATACTATTGGTTTTTCTGAGCATACGGTGAGGTGGATCATGACATGTATCTATACACCGTATTTCTTTGTTGCCTTGAACGTAGAGCTTCATAGTTTTTTTAAGTCCTCCCGGGGTGTGCGGCAGGGGGACCTTCTTTCTCCTTACCTTTTTGTGTTGGCTATGGAGGGGTTAGCTGGTATTTTTCGGGAAACCTCTCACAGCCCTGGTTTTCATTATCATTGGAGATGTAGGCAGACAGCTATTACTCATTTGTGTTTTGCGGATGATTTGATGGTGTTTTGTAGAGTAGATGGTTCCTCTGTTAGCTTGATCAAATCGGCCTTGGATTATTTTGCTAAGGTTTCTGGATTAGTGACTAATGCAGAGAAGAGCCAGTTGTTTCTTTCTGGAGTTACAGATGAGGAGCAGATTGGGTTAAAGTCTATCATGGGTTTCCAGTTGGGCCAGTTACCGGTAAGATATCTAGGGGTTCCTCTAATCTGTACCCGCCTTCGACATTCTGATTGTAGGCCTCTGTTGGAGCGAATTCTCTCTCGGATTAGGCTATGGACGTTGGCATCTTTGACTTATGCAGGCCAACTACAGTTGATAAAGCCGGTACGTTTCTCCATATAGGTTTATTGGTCCTCCATGTTTCTTTTGCCGGCAGGTACAATTAGACGGATTGAGAGTATTTTGGCCTAGTTTCTTTGGAAGGGTACTTCTTTGTCCCCTTCTGGTGCTAAGGTTGCATGGTCTTCTGTTTGCTATCCATTGACGAAGGGTGGCCTGGGGATTAAAAGGATCCAAGATTGGAATAGGGCGGCTATTCTTAAACACGTTTGGAGGCTACTTACTGATAGATCTTTTATATGGTCTTCTTGGGCCCGTTTGGTTCTCCTCTATGGTCGGTCCTTTTGGCATATCCGAGTTACTTCTAGGGCTTCATGGGCTTGGAGGAAGATTTTACTTAGCAGGGTTTGGTGCCGGGGTCTTATTGTGACTTGTATTAGAGATGGTAGGGACATCATGTTATGGCGAGATCACTGGCTTCCGCAGGGTCCTCTGTGTGACTTGCTCCCTTTTAGAACCTTGACTTCCACTGGTTTGCCGTGGGATGCTCGGGTTTCAGACATTATTCGGGATGGTTTGTGGGACTTTCCTTTGGGCAATACAGACCTTCAACATATCTGGGACTCTATTACAATGCAGCCTTCAGCGAGTCATCCTGACCATCTTGTGTGGAAGGGCCATCCATCTGGACGTTTCTCTATTGATTTAGCCTGGAATGTGTTACGAGACAAACGGGATGCGAACTCAATTCATCATCTCTTGTTGTTTCTCGGGCATATTGCAAGTCACTCTTTCATTCTCTGGCTCGCTTCTCTTGGTCGGCTTCACACCATGGACCGGCTCAGCTCTCATGGTGTCATTACGTCCTCCTGGTGTGTTCTGTACAGATCAGCTACAGAGACCCATGACCATTTGTTTTTCAGCTGTGACTTTTCTAGTTATGTTTGGCGGGAGGTCACTACCACCTTCTTTCCCTGTTGGTCCTTTCAGCCACAGTTTATTTTCTATGGTTTGAACGGAATAATCGTGTGTTTCGTCAGCATTGTAGCTCTTGCAGAGATATTGTCCTAGCTATTTGTGATCTAGTTCGGGCTAAGATTTTGGGTCTGGCACCTAAGTACGAGATCTCAACTCAGCTCCGTGTGATATGGCATCTTCCTGATTAGCTTTGTAAAGAGCTTGTGTGCTCTTTTGTGCCGGTTTGTGGCTTTGTGTTTGTAGGGAGCCTGCATGCTCTTTTGTGTCGGTTTGTGGCTTTGTGTTTGTGGTGAGCCTGCGTGCTTTTTTACGCCGGTTTGTGGCTTTGTTTATGGCATCTTCTTGCTTTATGGGGAGCCTGCGTGCTCTCTTTATGCTGTTCGTGACTTTGCGGGTTTTCCCACGGGTTTTTGACTGAGAGTTATCAGTCATCCTCTTGGGGTATGCCCCTCGTATTTGTACATTTTTGGTTTTTTATACATACTTACCTTATCTAAAAAAAAGTTTAGGGTTTAGTGTTTAGGGTTTAAGGGTTAATGTTTAGGGCTTAGGGGTTAGGATTTAGGGTTTAGGGTTTAGGGTTTTGGGGTTTAGGGTCTAGGGTTTTAGGGGTTTAGGGGTTAGGGGTTAGGGTTTAGGGTTTAGGGGTTAGGGTTTAGGAGTTTATGTAACGTCCCACTTGAGGTACGTAGTTAAGACTTGATGAATGACTTGAATGTTTATTGATTTACCCTCATTTGAGTTTGTATGTTGTTAATTGTTTGGTTTGGTTGAGTGGTTGCCCTGAAAATTGTAAAGACTTGGCAAAATCTTGATGTTACAGTCTTCGTCGGGGCGAAGAAGAAGCTTCGCCGCCGCGAAGAGGTGCTACAACCCACGGTGTAGCTGCTGTAAGTTTTCGCCGGGGCGAAGAAATAGCTTCGCCGCGGTGAAGACTTGGCTGAATAAAATATTTTAAAACATTCACCCTTAGGTCTAAGGCTCATGTACCGGGCACCATGCAATATACAAACAAGTACATAGCATACATTTAAAAAACAATCAATTTTTGAAATTTATGGGTTAATTACATTTGCCCCCTGACAATTTACAAATCTGTAATTTGGTCTAAAAGTTTTGAAAATTTACATTCTGGCCCCTATGTACTCGAAAGTGCGCTCATTGTGGCGTGCATTGGCAACTTGACATACACGCTTAATGTTCGATTTGGTACAGTGCCTGTTCTAAGGACGGTCGCCATGGCGATGGCTTATATCGCCGCGGCGAGCGCTGTTTTCGTATAGCGCTTGTCCAGAAGACGATCGCCGCGACGATGCTTTTTATCACTGCGGGGAGCGTTGGTTTCATCACCAGCGTGAGCGTGAACAACGCTCACTACGGTGATGGGTTATATCACCGCGACGAGCATACACAGATCTGTAGTTCTGGATCTTTTCATACAGTAACCATATACACTTTAAACGGATTTTGCAATCAATCAAACACATTGATCTCAACAAAAATCCATCAACCATTATACCAAACCAGCAGATCATCAACAAATTAAAATTAATCGATTAATAATTTCTTAAAACATGTTTTAATACAGATCTTACGCAGATTCAATATGACAACATATTATCATCAAATACATATTATCAACCATACACATAAAAACTATAAAATTTAGTACCCTAGGCTCTAATACCACTGTTAGGAAATGCTCTTGGGTAGATAAGGTTAGAGTGACAGAGGTTGGGTCCCACTTCACACTTGAAGCTGTGGACCTTGATATTAAGGATGGCATCTTACATATCCCAGATGATGTTATTGATGACAATGATGTTGAATGACTTCGCTGTATTGTGGGTTATTTCCCGGGGTATTCTATGCCATTTCATGTTGCCCGCTCAATTGCTTTCCGTGCATGGGAAGCTGCGGGGTTGGAAGATGTTATGTCCACTGGTACTGGTTTTTTCATCTTCAGATTTAGGGATAAGGATGCGGTGCATTTAATCCTAGAGAGAGGGCCGTGGATGTTTGGGGGCAAGTTTATTGTTCTGCAACAATGGGATGCTCAATTTTTTTTTGATAAAAGTCGCATCTCCAAGGTTCCGGTATTGGCTCATTTGCATGGGTTGCCTTATCCTTTGTGGTCTCACAAAGGACTCTGCATGGTTTCTTCTATGTTGGGTTGGCCATTGTCGAGTGATAAGACAACTTCTGAGTGGACCCGTTTAGATTATGCTCGGGTATGTGTTGAGATAGATGCAGCAAAGCCTCTAAAGTGCCATTTTGAATTTCAATGCTGGTTATCTACTGAACCCATTCAGATTACAATGGAATATGAGTGGACCCACAAGAGGTGCCCTAAATGCTGTGTTTTTGGCCATGTTTGTCATCAACCAGAGGTACCTACTACAACTATGGCTCGGGGTAAGAGTAAGATAGTTACTAGCTTCCAGAAGGCACCGGGGAAAGTTATTACAATGTGATTTGAGGACTGCAAGCCTTTGAGGCAGCTAGCCACTACTGATCCCATTAGCGAGAGGGAGCGGGAGAGGGATGTTCTCGCACCAGCTAGAGTTTCAGTTTCGAGTACAGTTAGAGATGGGGATGCTTCTTTGGCTCTGGTCCTGTATCAGCAAACTGTTCGTGCTAGCAGAGGTGAATTTTTTGGCTTTGAATCGGGGTTAGAACATGATTCACCTTTTCCTATTGAGGATGAGCAGGACCGCATTATGGGTTTCACAAATTGCACGCTAAACACTTAGGTTTCCTTTATGAGTTCTGGGAGTAGGCAATCTACTTTCTCCAACAGGTTTGCCTCGCTTGTTCTGCATAGTGATGATCTCCAAACACCAGATGCTACCTTATCTTGATCAGTTTCCTTGCCACCCTTGGTAAAAGGGAAAGGTCGGGGAAAGCGGGGGCTTAGGCTAAAGTGATTTGGAATATTAGAGGCCTTAACAGCTTCTCGAAACAACATGCAGTGAGGAATTGGATTTCTGCCTCTTCTTTGGGTTTGATTGGTTTGTTGGAGACTAAGGTTAAGCAGTCTCATCTACAGTCGTGGTTTTGACAGTTTGTCCTTCATGGCAGTTTTTGTCAAATGCGACAGATTCTATTGCTTGCCGAGTTCTGGTATGTTGGGATCCTTCTCTTTACTCTGTGAATAGCCTTCATTGCTCTTTTCAAGAGATTACTTGCAGGGTTACTCATGTTTTCGAGGGGTTCTCCTTTAGGATTACTTTTGTGTATGGTTCTAATGACCCTGGGACTCGCCGCAATCTGTGGGATTTCCTTAGGGATCAGTCAGTAGAGTTTGATTCGGAGGGGCTACCGTGGCTTGTGTTGGGTGATTTTAATGCCATATTGGGAGTCTTTGACAGAGTGGGTGGTGATCCTGCATGGTATGGTTATATGGATTATTTTGGCCAATGTATCCATGATGCTGAGTTGATTGGGATTCCTTTTACTGGGCTTCGGTATACTTGGCATAACAGTCAATAGGGCAATGAGATTATCTTATGGAAACTCGATTGGGTCTTTGCATCTCTTTCTTGGTTCCTTGATCGACTGACCACAGTTTTAGAGTTTCGACCTCGGGATATCTCAGATCATAGCTCTATGGTTGTCCGGTTTGGTCCCCGCCGTGGCAAGGTACCATCCCATTTCAAATTTCTAAATTTTTGGGCTAATCATGCAAATTTTATGGATATTGTTTAGATAGTTTGGGACGAGCATGTTGTAGGCATCCTATGTTCAGTCTTACACAAAAATTAGGGTTATTGAAACAGAAGCTCAAATCTTTACATATTAGGGTCTCCAACCATATCTCCAGTAGGGTAATTGAGGCCCGTACTCAGCGGGCAATAGCCCAAGAAAATTTGGATCGGGACCCCATTTCTATTGAGTGTATCTCTCAGGAGAGGAACCTTGCTAACTAGTATTTCAGTCTTTGTCAAGATGAGGAGGCTTTTTTTAAGCAGCGGTCTCGTGTTCAGTGGCTAAACTTAAGGGATCAGAATACTAAGTTCTTTCATAAGTCGTTGATCCATAGGCAGGTTTGGAACCGCATCCATGGTTTGACTGATAGGAATAGTACCCATATTACTAACAGACAGGGTTTGGGGCGTTTGGCGGTGGGTTTTTTTCAGGATCTTCTTGCTGCCCTTACTCAACCTCCGATTGCAGAGGCTTCCAAGTATTTTTCTGGGCGCATTTCTCCTGATATGATTTCTCCCTTGACTGCTCCTATCACTGATGAAGAGATTAGGATTGCTTTATTCTTTATCCCGGATGATAAAGCCCCTGGTCCGAATGGATACACTTCTTTGTTTTTTAAGTGGGCATGAGATATTATTAGTATAGAGTTTAGAGACGTAGTGAGACATTTTTTTGGTACTAATGAGATGCTAAGATGTGTTAATGCGACCAAGATTGCTTTGGTTCCTAAGGTGGAGAGCCCGAGTTGTATGACGGACTTTAGATCGATATCTTGTTGTAATGTGCTATACAAGTGCATTTCTAAGGTGATAATGAATCGGTTTAAAGTAGTGCTTTCAGATGTTATTGGGAGTTCCCAGTCGGCTTTTGTCCCGGGTCGAAGGATTTCTGATAATATTCTGCTGACTCAAGAGCTTTTGTGGAATTATCATCTTGGGGCTACTTCACCTCAATGTGCCCTTAAAGTTGATATTTGGAAAGCTTTTGATACTGTGAGTTGGGATTTCATCCTTTTGGGACTGCGTACTTTGGGGTTTCCTGAGCGTATGGTGAGGTGGATCATGACATGTATCTCTATGTCGTATTTCTTTGTTGCCCTGAACGGAAGCTTCACGATTTTTTTAGGTCTTCTCGGGGTGTTCGGCTGGGTGACCCTCTTTCTCCTTACCTTTTTGTGTTGGCTATGGAGGGGTTAGCTGGTATCTTTTGGGAAACCTCTCAAAGCCCTGGTTTTCATTATCATTGGAGGTGTAGGTAGCCAGCTATTACTCATTTGTGTTTTTCGGATGATTTGATGGTGTTTTGTCGAGCAGATGCTTCCTTTGTTAGCCTGATCAAATCGGCTTTGGATTATTTTGCCAAGGTTTTTGGGTTGGTGACTAATGCAGAGAAAAGCTAGTTGTTTCTTTCTGGAGTTACAGATGAGGAGCAGATTGGGTTACAGTCTATCATGGGTTTCCAGTTGGGCCAGTTACCGGTC